AGTGGGGTGGGGGTTAAAATGATCCCCCAATGTCTTAAATAAAAAAACGAGGGGCAAAATGATGAATATTGCCCCTACCTGTGGGGTATTTCTGCGCCACTCGTAATTATCGCGGGGCGCTTAATCTCCTGCCTTGTGACATATGCCCCATACGCGCCTGACTGCCCTGGGCGATGCACCCAGGGCATCTGGCCACCTAGGCGGCCAGGTGGGTGAATTTTCCAACATTGGGTCTATGGAAAGATGTGATAGGTCACAAATATGAACATCATGATGATAGTTGCAGCCTTTTAGGGGTTTGGTCATGGAGCGAGTAGTAACAAATGGTAGGCATTATTTATGACAGTTCAAGTGGGAATTGCAGTTTGGGAATGGTATTTGACTAGTTGAACAAGCTTTTGGGACCAAGTCTTGTGTGGGGATTCTCTATTGCGGATCATTTCCTTTTTTGACTACTTTGAGAAACCATGTCTAGAGCTTGTATTTTCGACAAGACATTACATGGTAGGGGTTTGGGGAGTTAAGTTGACTAGAGATTATGCTGCACTTCCTCTTGGTGGGGCTGATCTAGACCCTTGATTGTGGAAATTTTTCTTGATAGATTTTCTGTGATTCCATGACTATTGTTGTTCCTTAGCCTCCCAGCTCGTGTGGTTTGCTCTTGCATTGCCCATGGTTCAGGTGGCTAGTATGTGTGGATGAGATATATTGGACCAATTGTAGCATTAGGGTGAAATCCTTAACAGTGGCATTAAGAACCAGGAGAAAGTACAGGCTGTCTTCTATCTCGTAATTCACTTGGAGCTGTAAGATTAGTGGTGGTGTGGGGTCACAGTACGTTGGACTCCTTTGGGTGTACTGGATGATGCATGAGTTGATAGGTACATTGCTGATTGCTTGTTTCTCTGTTTAGTTACGCCAGAGAGGTTGCATCACTTGAGGCTATGTGACCTAGCAATTAAGTAGGGTACCTGGAAAGGGGTCATGCAGAGAATTTTCGAAGGAACCATGACAATTTGATCAGCTTGTAAAGAGCAAAGCAGGAAGAACATCATTGCATTTGTTAGGAAGTACTTATAGGAAACCAGGACACTATACTTAACTATGGAGTGAAGGACAATTGTTTTGTGCTGTGTTACCTGGGCCAAAGATATATTGGTGGACTTTCTTGATGGTTTAGGTGAAACAAAAAGCTGGGATCACTCGGGCTTAAGTTATATCTGCATACGTCATTGGGCCTACAAGTTGAGGGTAAACCCCTTTCCGTGATTAGATGGGTGCATTGTTGGACAGTGATCCCATGGTGAGTGGCAGTTTTATTTAGGAGATTTGAATGTTCATGGTTTTATTTTCTCACCCCACCATCTCATTGCTGATGACCTGTTCAGCTTATTGCCCACTGGCAAGGATGTCGGTCTCACATAAACTTTGTATTGATGACCTTGCCCTTTTGTAGCTATTTGCAATCTGTCATCTGTGTTTCCTTTATTGACTGATGCATTTTAATTTGGAAATGGAAATTTATAGTCTCAATAAGAGAATCTTTGTAAGCAATTAACTCGTGGTCCTCGGTACTGAATACTCTGGCCTTAGCTTCATTAATATTGAGGGATCATAATGATTACATCTTTTAAATATGTTTGGGACGTTTTTCTTTTACGCAATAATTGATTTGATGCTACGAACAGGAAATAGGTTGATACGCATGGTATATCACTGAATGAGAAGTTTGGCCAAGCTGGGGCAACCAAAGATTTTTGAAATTTTTTGAGTTTTATTATTATTATTATTATTATTGTTATTGTTATTGTTATTGTTATTGTTATTGTTATTGTTATTGTTATTGTTGTTGTTGTTGTTGTTATTATTATTATTATTATTATTATTATTGTTATTGTTATTATTATTATTATTATTATTATTATTATTGATTCTTCTAAGATTATTGTGTGAATTTTCTTTTTCACTTTACATTGCCTTTTATAATGGCCAATTTTTCCGCATTTATAGCATACAGGTAATTTTTTTCGACCTTTATGATATTTATATTTGGGAGAGAATCTCTTTATAAATTTTTCTTTTTTATATTTTTTATAAGATTTCTTGTCCTTTCTTTCTGACTTATATCTTTTCTTTTTATAAAATTTATCTTTAGATTTTTCTATATGATATCCAAATTGTTCACAAAAGTCTCCTAGTTCTTTTTTACCAGTCATTTTCTGTTTATCTAATTGCTTTTTTAATTTCATATCAGTTCATAAGGCTAATCCTTCTGCACATATTTCTGCAGATAATTCTCCTAATGTATGGTTAGTATCTACTGGTTGATCAAATTCAACTTCATCTGTATCAGTTATGGTTCCTGATATGTCATTTTGTAATTCTAATATTTTGATTCTAGTATTTAGTTGTCCTACTTCTGTTTTTATTTCATTTACTTCTTTTTTTAATTCAGATATTATGGGTTCTCTTTGGAGTATATCTTTTTTATTAATTCCTTGGAGTATTTCAGCAAAATTATAATCTTCTGGGGGTTTGAGTAAAGGAACTGGTTTATTTTTTGCTTTTGCTAATGTAATAAATTGGGTAATGGTTTCTCTTTTTTCCTCTGGATCATTTAGTTTTTCTATGAGGTCTAAAATTAATGTATCTTCTTTTGATAACATATTACAAGAACATTCTTCCATGTTTTGTTCAGATTCAGATTGTTTTGTGGAGGACATATAATATTCTTCATCTTCCATTTGTCCTAATAAAGAGGTATCTGTAGAAGTTTCAGAAGAGTTATCATCATATATTTGTATGATATCATGTAGCTTATTTCTAATTGATTCTTCTAAGATTATTGTGTCAATTTTCTTTTTCACTTTACATTGGCTTTTATAATGGCCAATTTTTTCGCATTTATAGCATACAGGTAATTTTTTTCGACCTTTGTGATGTTTATATTTGGGAGAGAATCTCTTTATAAATTTTTCTTTTTTATATTTTTTATAAGATTTCTTGTCCTTTCTTTCTGATTTATATCTTTTCTTTTTATGAAATTTATCTTTAGATTTTTCTATATGATATCCGAATTGTTCACAAAAGTCTCTTAGTTCTTTTTTACCAGTCATTTTCTGTTTATCTAATTGCTTTTTTAGTTTCATATAAGTGCATAAGGCTAATCCTTCTGCACATATTTCTGCAGATAATTCTCCTAATGTATAGACAGAATATGGTATGATTCCTCCATTCTTATTTTTTAATCTAGTTTTTACTTTCTCAGCAAATAAATATGGTAATCCTGCAACAAATTTTTCTTTCCAATGATCCTGTTGGCTATTATCTCTACTTAATAGTTTAGAAAAGAAAACATCTTTGTACCATTTATAAAATGGGATAGGGTTGGGCATCGCAAATTAGATAATAAATCTTCAGATCGGGCTTCCAGTAAGGCTATACTCCCCACAAAATGACAGCGTCACTTTCAGAATATAGAATTTCTTGATTATTTTCATTTTTAGCAGTCCATTGACGAGTATTATTAAGAATTTGTTGTTTGGTAGTTTCAGGTAAGTGAAAGTCCCACCAACCTCGAAGCCATCCTGTGAAGCACAGATAATGGCTTTGGCAACTTCTTGATCATGGTTGCCTACCATTTTGTATGCAGAAGCGTACATGGTCATATGTTTCATGGTGTCTAATATCTGTTGTTCAGACAATCCATCTATGTTCCAATTTACTATTGATCTTTCAGAATAAGAAATATTCTGAGCTACTAAGTCTTCTTCGAATTGTATATCTACAGAAGTAGGTCTATGATGATAAGGTCTAGCTGTCAATGGTTTCCATGATTTTCCATATGTTATTCTTTGGATGTTATTGTTGTCTTGACTATGACTGTTTTCAGTAAAGGCTTCTTCCATATTTTCTTTTGTGTCAGCTATTATGGGTGTCTCGGCTTGCAAGGTTAACGTAGACTATTCAGGGATAACTTTGCCTTTTCCTTTTTTATCCTGGATCTCTAATTGAGATAATTTTGATATTAACATATCCATTAAGGTCTTATTATCTTCTCCAAGTTTAAATCTTTCTTTGTCAAGTGATGGAGCTGGTTTGAATAAGACATTTTTGTGTTTTTCTTGTAGAGGTACAGGTCTTAACATATTTTCAATTCTGGATGCCTGCTTTCCTAATGATTGCATACATAGATTGGTGTAATTATTTTGTTCTATCACATGTGGAATTAATTCAGCTTTATGTTTGTAGTCATTTTATATGGTGTAGCTTTTGTTTCTAATTTTAAGTCTGGATTTGATCCTTTTATAACAATACTTTTTTCAGGAGGATGGATACTAGTTAATGTATTTCCATCTATTGTCTCATATGAACTATATTGACTTTGTAGTGTATTTACTTCAAAATTAGGAATATGAACTTTTTTCTCCTTACATATTTCTCTTAACCATACAAAAAATCCTTTATTATAGTGTTCTCTTTTTCGTGCCTTGTTATATTTTATATGTAATAATTCTACTAATCTAGGTTGAAAATTTTGTTTATACCAAGTTCTAATTGCCTTATTTTCTTCAGACAGATAATCCTGTTCAATAAATTTTTTATTATGCCTTTTTTCTTCCTGAAGAGTTAAGACTTGAAAATCCATTTCTAAATCAGTTAATTCTCGTTCAGATTTTTGTGCTAACTTATATTGTGGGATGACAATATTTTCTCTTGTTCTATATAAGCTTTCTAATTTTGGATGTATAGATGAAGTAGAACTCCTTGGTAATTCTATTATAGGATTATTAGATGATTTTATTTCAGAATCATCTTTACTATGTTGAAGATGTGTTTTTTTATTTTACTTATAAAAAATGAGTGTCTTTTGAGTAAGTTGTGGCAGTTTCAATGATGCAGTGATGATGAGCATAAAATGGTTTTATTTAGAGTTCAGGTGAATCCTACTCTCCATAATTCTTCCCTTATCTCATGATTTCTTCTCTTCTGGTTGACAGAGACCACCATTATCAGTTTACTTCCTGGCAGTAGATTGCAAGAGGTTACACGCATGCTGCCTATTTTTGCTGATACTCTGAAGTTACTTAGATGCTCTTTTCCTGATATGGTGGCCGTCATTCCTGTAGCATCTAATCAACATGTTCAGGAACACATCAAGAAGAATGTTCAGCAATGGGTGGTGCCTGCCATATTGATATCCGGGGAATCTTCTTTCAAAAAATATGATGCTTTCAGCGTATGTTATTCTTGATCTGATTTATGCTATTGATCCACATTGTCTGATTTTTCTTATGAGAAAAATGCATCATGGTTCTGGCTTTTCTTCTTCTAAGATGTAAGTGGAAGTATCTGAAAAAATTTCAACTTTTGTGGCGCTTTGATTACAACTGTGAGAGTTGCTAAAAGCATGTCAGGTTTGATTGCAAATATATGAAAGTTGTCACAAAATGCATGTCATAATTCATTTTCGTTGTATTATACTATCAAATTTTCATTTTATGTATCCGTGTACATGGTGTCTGACAAGTATTTTTTTGTCGGACTAGGTTCAATTTATTTTAGACATTACTATGGAACTTTTTGCAGGCAAGCAAAGCTGCAATTGCTACTTCAGGGACAGCTGTTATGGAATTGCAACTTGCACGGCTGCCTTGCGTTGTTGGGTATCGTGCCCATTTCTTGACAGAATGGTTTATTCGTTTGAGGACAAAGTCAAAGTACGTGTCCCTACCGAATATTCTGTTGGATTCAGCTGTTATTCCAGAAGCTCTATTATCCAATTGCACAGCTGATAGATTGTCCATGTTGCTCAAGTAAGATGATGCTCAATTAAGTTGATAATAGGTGGCCAAGCTAGATCTTTTTGACTGCTAAGCTTTCTGAATTTTAGTGAACTTTTGACATTTGCTTCTCCAATTGGTTGATTGCATCCCCTGTCCTGGTTGGTCCTCATCAGCATTGCATGGATGGATTTCAGTCCATTATTGTGTAATGTACTGAAATAACGCGCTAACTGCTTGTGGATTTCCTTGTCAATGAAATCAGAGGCATGCACTTTCATGCAGTCTATCATTCGTGCATGATACATGTATGAATGTGCTTAGGACTGATGAGTACCTTGCAGAAAGAAAAGAAAATTGTCACCGATTAATAATGAATTAAAATTGTGGAGGAACTCATCTAAATAAACTTGTCTTACCCCCAATTGCAGCAAAATCATTTGGGACGAAAGCCTTCGTGAGGAACAGATGGCATCTGCTAGGAACGTGCTTAATATTCTATGCCCAAAGCAGAAAAGTTTGTATAATTTGCATGGGGGAAGGCTTGGATCTTCATGCACACCAAGTATGATTGCTGCATCTACCATTATGTATGAATTGACTTGTAACACTTGAAAAGTGTATAATCTCTGTAGCATCTTTTTGGTTAGGTGATGTCTTCCTTTTCTCTGGTTAAATTAATTTTTTCGGTGGTAGTTTCATTATCATCAGATGAATATTTGAACATTAAGCACAATTATTTAATCAGTGTTGAGCACGTCTCATTACATTTCAAAATTGATTGCATCTATATGCTATACAAGGCCTTCTAGGTTAAAGAGATCCACCCCGAAAGTGTAGTTCGAGTTTGATGGGTTGGGGACTTGTGTTACATTTTAAGGTATGAAGAGCTTGTAATCACCCAAGCAAGCTTGGAACTGAAGGCATACGAGACGGTTTCCAACTTGTGAGGAAATTTTGCCTTGAAATTGGAGCATTGTTATTAAAACCAGGCGATCTAACCACTAACCGCCCGGTTAGATCGGAATCGGCCAGTGACCGGTTCTGGTTTGGGGCGGTTTTGGTGATTGTCCAGTATTTAAAAAAAAAATTCAAAAAAATGTATATAAATTCCCAAAAGTAAGGAATTTGGTTTGTAATGCACTTTCTATTATTCTTTACATTATGGTAAAGATTAAAAATTATTTGTCATTAATACTCATTTTAATTCAAAAATCGATTTGTTAAAATCTATGTTTCATTAGTTTTCAACTTCATTTGAATGTGTTTAGTTTTAATCATTTTTTATATGTTTTTTATATTTTAGCAGATTTTTTTTGTATTTTTTTATTTTTTCAACACTTTTTTGACTACCCGAGACTTGCTCGGTTAGAACGGTTGAATTGGTCGGTTTACCGGTTAGATTGGTTAAACCACTTCTAGGCCCATGTCTGGTTAACTGTTCCGGTTCGATTTTGCAAACAATGGCCAATGCTTCATTCTCTTTTTTTTGTTTTACTTAAATTCTTCTTACACGGTACCAAAGAAGGCAAATGCTTATGTAGTGTTCTTGGTTTGGCTGGGTTGTAATATGTTACGCCTTCGGAAGTTAAGGGGATTATCTAAAACTTAGTATTATCTATGCTAAATAGATGATTTGGAAAATAGCAAGAGGATTGATAGTATGGGAGGTTTGGAAGGAAAGAAATAGAAGAGTGTTTGACGGGATAAGTATGCGTGTTGAGAGAATTTTGGAGAAAATATTACACTCAGATTTGGCTTTTGTTCTCAATTACATTGGGAAAGATATTATGGAAATCTTTTTCAATTGGGCTCTTTTAGCTCGTTAGGGACCTTAGGGTTAGCTGGTTATGGAGGAGTGGTAGCTGGTTATGAAAGAGTGGTGAGGGATTGGAATGGAACTGTTGTTTCTCTTATGCAAGTGAAAAGAGCAGAAATCTTGGCTCTCTTTAATGGTTTAAAACTTTTCTTTAATGGTTTAAAACTTTTTGTGGTAAGGAATTTAGGATCTAATTGTGTTGTGGTTTAAAACTTTTTGTGAGGAGGAATTTAAGATCTTATTGTGTTGTGGAAGGTAATTCACTTAATGTCATCAGATGCCATAATAGGTCAAATGGATAGGAAAAGCAATTGCGGTCAAATGGTGTAATAGGGGATAAAAATTGCCTAATGTCATCAAATGCCATAATAGGTCAAATGGATAGGGAAAAAAATTGCGGTCAAATGGTGTAATAGGGAACAAAAATTGCCTTAGGCGTTTCAGTCTAATTTGATACAAATTTGGAACATTCGTGAAGTCAAATGTGTAAAGTCAAATGTATTGGTGGATTTCCATGCCAAAGGAAGCACTGCTTTAATTAAGACTTTGTCTCGGAACATTCGTGAAGTCAATGTATTGGCGGATTTCCATGCCAAAGGAAGCACTGCTTTAACTAAGACTCTTGTCTCGGATTATATAATTTCCTTTTAATATCTAATTAATAAAGTTCGGAATTTCTATAAAAAAAAAAGACAGTTTCTACTGCTTCCTACTTCGTGCCGGCCCACATTTGCATTCAAGTTTCAATTTGGTTGGATGCGAACGTACAACCAAGATCTAATTTTCGTTAAGTGTTCCATTGCAAACTACTTTTTCTTTTGTGATCTTGTTCACATATATCATAGTGCGGGCCCTTGGATCTGCACGGTCCATCTCAATGGATGGTGTGCACTGGAATTTCATCTCAGGTAACCTGGGCCTGGATCCTCTCTCTCTCTCACTTTTCTAATTTTTTGAAGGGCAAAAATAGCAGAAACCAGTGTTATGAAACCATTCTCCACTCTTTTATCTTTCTCTCACATGGTGATGAAGATAAAGATAAGAAGTTCTCTTGTATTTTTTTGCCCTTTTTCTTCTTTTCATAAATGGGCTAATGCTGTTTGGGGCTGCTTTAGTAGCGAGGAGATTCGGAAGAAATCATGGTGGTGGTGGTGCGAAGGGTTTTCTTAAAGGAAGCCAAAGTATGCCGTGCAGATTGAAGTATTTGGAAGGTTACCAACATTGGGTAGCGAGCCTTGCTCCTCCATTGACAAACATAATCGACAAAAGAACATGACAACCAGAGATAAAACTCGGAGCTTTAAATTTTATTCCTAAAACTCAATAACTTTTGTTGGTATTGAATTTTACGGCACACAGCAATAATTCTCAAGATCACAGGGCACCATTGCAAAATTCGCAGCTGGCAGTGTTCAAGCTTTATAAAGAGCATTAATGAATTAACCCCTTCGCCCTCAAAAATTGTCAGAACATTAAGCTGAACAAAAATGGTGAGAAACTTGCTCGTAATACAGGCTTTCAGCTCATAACAACTGAGCTTGCAAATTTACATCCAAGGTAGAATCCAACTCTGAACAACTCCCGGTGGTGTTGGTCTGCAACTCGTAATGGAAACAAAATCATGCCATTTTCACCATCTGATCCTTAGAATAAGCCCGACAAAATCCTTTCTATCGCCAGTGCTACCATTTCCCACCATCTCTTTCTACCTAAGTCGATGAATCAAAACTCCATTCGCAGAGTCAACTAAGCAGCAGAGCCTGCGTCTCTTCCCTTATTAAATGTTCTCTTTCCAATCTCTGTATTTAGCAAATGTCCTTACTCCTTGTGCCTAGAAATATCATAAAAACAATTGAGCAAAGGAATTTTTTTTGGAGTTCCAATGAAGAAGGAAGTATCATTTGGTGAATTGGCAAAACGTATGTACTCCTAAAAAGGAAAGTGGCGTGGGTATCCGAAAATAGAAGTTAGTTAACCAAGCATTAATTGCCATGTGTTGGTGGCAGGCAATGTATAATGAGCAACAACTATGAAAAAAGGTGTTAGTTGTCAAGGATGGTGTGGACCCTTCAAATAATTTGATTGCTAGGGGCCGTAATAGTTTACATCAATCTCATGTTTGGAAATCCATTTTATCTTTGCACTCGTTTATAAAAGGCATGCAAGGTGGTCAGTTTGGAAAGGTGACAATATCCTTTTCTAGCATCATAAATGGGCCCTTGATATTACTTTTAAATATCAACATCCAGGTTCGTTTCAAAGAATAGCTCAGCCATGGCAAAGGTGAGGGAGATGTGTGAATGGAATGAGAACTCAAATTTTTGGAATGTCAATTGCCTTTACAATAGAATTCCTTACATTGTTGCTGAACAAATCTTGGAATTGTTGAAGGTTATGGAGGGAATTCATAAATCTAGTACTATGGAGGATGAATCGGTATGGGAATTCAAATATGATGATATCTTCTCGGTCAAGTCAACTTACTCCATTCTTTTTCATGATCGGTTTAGATGGAGCCAGGCTAATTTGAAGGTAATTTGGAAGTGGTGAGTACCACATAAGATGCAGGCCTTTATATGGGTACTGACACAAGGAAAAGCTCCAACCTTTCATTATTAAGAAGAGAGGGAAAATCTTAGCTCATGTACACCTATTTTGCAAAAATAATGAGGAAAACAGAGACCATCGATTTCTACATTGTCCTTTCTCTTATCATATTTAGTGTTGAGCAATGCAAAAAATAGGTGTTTCTATGGTTTGTCCTAATTCTCATGATTCTCATAAAGACATCCTCGACCTTCTCAAGCGAGATGCAAAAGTAAGCGGCATGATCTGGGACATTTTTCGGGCAGCTATTATATGAGAGTTGTGGTTGGAAATGAATAGAAATTTGAAGGAGTATCATCAGAGATTCAAGGGATAAATAATAGAATTTTGTTTAGGGTGTGGAGCTGGTTTAGAATTACTAGGAAAGGTTCAAGTGTTTCTGAGGTGGACGTTGAGTTGAATTTGGCTAAGCTTATCACTTTCAATTTCATTAAGATTAGACCTAGATGTACTTGGCAGCCACCATTGACAGGGTGTTTCAAATTGAGTTCGGATGGCTCATCTTTAGGAAATCCAGGTTTGGCAAAGGTGGGTGGTGTATGCCGTGATAGCGGAGGCAATGTGGTTTTTTGCCATGTAGGACCTTGAGAAAATGTATCTACTAATCATACTGAAATGGCTCTACTGCAAGGAGTTAAAATTCGGAGGGAAAGGAAGCTTGGAACTTTTTGCTAATCATGTTGAAATGCCCCTGCTGAAATGGCTCTGGTGCTCAGCGCCTCCTTGTACTGGTCATCCCCATCTACTATCTTGCAAGTTGAGCTAACATCTCCGTAGTCAATTTTCATAAGACGACAGAGACAACATTATTGTAGTGCATCAGCTCACATGTGGAAACACTCTCTTTTGTTTTTAATCAACTAATTAATGTAATCAGAATTGATTACAAGTGTATTTCTACTTGTGCACAAAAATGAATCTGTACAGTAGATTTTACATAGCTATGATAAGGAATAGATTCTGCAGAACCATAATAAGGAACAATATCAAAACTCAAAGCTTGATAACAGTTAAGTGTAAGTTTCAAAACTCCATCCCTAGCAAGAGCATCGGCTGCCTCGTTCATGTCTCAACAGGAGTGAACAAAGACCTATCTATGTTACCAATTCATTGTCTTATTTCATCTAAGAAATTGATTAACCTCCATGGACATGGTTGCCAGTCACTTCCTCACTGTATCAAGTTAATTGAGTCTGCCTCCATTATCAAACGAACCCAGCAGTCCTCTTACAGCCTGAGGCCTTGGATCACTAAGCCACCCCCCACATTGAGTAATAAGGATGCACCCATTGTTAGAGAGGCTAGCAGACCATAGTGTGCGTAATAAGGATCGACCCATTGTTATCTCTAACAAAGCTCCCTACTCTTCCAGGGCCTGGGTCCCCCCCTCAAAGTCCTGGCATGATTGAGCTTTAAGATGCTGAACGGGGTAGGATCCTTTGGGTAGGATGCTTTGACCAGGCCTAGCCTTCTTTGGCTGGCTTGTGATATCTCTCTATACCATATCTATGTCATTATTAAGCCACAGTTCAATGGCGACACATGTAGCAAGAATAAAGGGGAACTTTATATATAGAAAGGGCCTACAATATACGAGGGATTTTAGGGCATAATATAGCTAAATGAAGAGATTTTAGGGAAGATAGAACCCTGAAAACGAAATTTAGAGTAACATACACATATAGGATAAATCCTAAAATAATTTAGTGACAAAATCACATGCATTAACTTTCTAAATTCGATAAAGGGGTCACACACTCCTTCCTTGTTATTAAGCTACAGTTAAGGGATGGACATATGCCATAAAAATAAAACGGGACCTGCTTTCTAAAGAAGATTAGAGCATGTGACCTTCAAAGAGAGAGACTTCAACGGATTGTGTAGCTAATTGGATTCGGTCTTCTTATTGAGAGATTTTACGGAAGAGAGAATCCTCAAAAAAGAATTTAGAGTAGGTAGAATATGGGAGTCGACCCGGAAATAGTGAAACTCAAGATGTATGTAGCATAGCTAATACTTTAATATCTGATTGTTTGGAAGCTGAGAATGGTACACTCAGTTCAACCCTTGTTAGAGACTACTAATGTGGATAAGCTCTGCAGATGTGAGGCACATTATGAAATCAAAGAAAAACAGAAGATGCACTTTCATTCTGAAGAAGGTGGCAACTTTCTTCGAGTAGAGTGCTCCCACCATGAGAGAGATCAAACAAGGAGTCACTTCAGCCTCATACTTCAACTACAAGGACACATTTTCTTAGGTGTTCACCACCAATAACAGTGATGGTAGGACTCCTGGTTCATTGTCTTAGGTTCTCTTTAAAACCTATGGACCGACCCCCATGGATTGACGGGGAATGGTGTTCTGCATATTTCTGTTGAGGGTCTAGTACCGCTGTATGGTTTTCACCCTCTTCATCCTTCTACTTTTTATATGCTTTCCCAGGTTATTTGGACATATGATGTGCCAGGAAGTCTTGGCCAGTTTCCGTCTCCCCCATAAGTATGACAAACAATCCAGAGCTGTAGACTCTTGCAAGGACAAAACCAGTCCAAACCATGGCTGTTCAATTTACAGTTGGTTGGCCTCCCAAAGTTAAAACACTTACCAAAAGAATGACTCCACCTTAGGTGCATGGATTCACCTAAGATTTAAAGTCGGACAACATTTCAGCATCTTAGGGATTCGAAGTTGGGGGGGGGGGGGTGGTTGAGAGAGAGAGAGAGAGAGAGGGAAAGAGATATTTCCTTGAGGTTGCAACACTTGAAATTATAGGCCATAGTTTCTTGAGCGAGGCAGTGGCTGAAATAGGTCTCAATGACAACTTAAGCAGAGATCTACAAATTTTAAAGGAGCTGGGCTTGCAACCCAAAATGCATTACCTGACAACCTTATAGACCCAAAATGGAGGCCAATAGGTCTTATGAAGAACTTTGCAAGTGAGACTTGATCCACGACCCTAATGAACTCAGCTCTTCAGCAGTAATGGAATGTCCAAGATCTGGATATGCCTGCAAACCCACCACAAATACATGCCAATTACTTGCGAAGGTATGTGTGTTGTGTAGCTGTGCACATGAGAGAGAGAGAGAGAGAGACCTTGAATTCGCAACTGATACCAGCTTGTTCTAGGAACGGAGGAGCAGCCTGCCCAGCTTCAAAGAGTACCGTTTTATCAGCCATTCCATGAGACCATAAAATTGGTGTCTGTAGATGACAGAGAAACCTATCAAATCCACTATCAAATCACAGCTCTTTGAACATAATGCAAGTCTACGACTTTTGAATACTTGCAAATACGTCAAATTGAGCATCAAATAAACATGCTAACCCATTTTCATACTTCATAATATTGCAGACTCTATAGAACAAAATTTCTGAGACGATGGCTATTCACATTTTCAAAAGAATATTTTATTCCTTGATGGTTATCTTATTGTGCTCCGTCTAGGGAATCTCTCCCATACATTCATGCAGCATCGTCTCATCCAGCTTGGGAGCTTTGTAATAGCTGTATATGAATTACGAATACTCACTTTTCTATTGTGTAGGCAGTGATGGCTGGACCACAAATCACAAAGAGAAGAGAGGAGAGAACTCATCCCTAAACATATTACAAAATTATTACTTATGAGGATCCACAAAACAGGAGCCCATCAGCTGCACCTTAAGCATTCAATAAGGGAGATCCTCCAAATGCTCTTGAAGTGCAAATCCTACTTCCATATGTGGATAATTGATGAGCCTAAACTCAGACCAAATCATACATCTAAGTCCTAGCAGATTATGAGAAAAAATGATGACCATATTATAGAGGCAGAGAACATAACACAGGAAAGTACATGACTTTTTTTTTCCAATCAATGGCTTTTTCTATTGATAAATGAGGATGTACAATTCTCCGCATACAAAAAATGCATATGATGCAAGAGTTTGTTAAAACATTTCCCTATGAAAAGGAGGGAGAATGTTAGGATCAATCATCCACTGATCTTTTCACAAACAGATTGGGGCGAGAAACTCCAATATAGCTAAAGCACTGGCAGCTTAATTAGCTTCCCTCCAAATATGTCCAAAGGAGATCAGAATGGCAGATCACAATTCTGCAATAATGCCAAAAAGCGATGGAGTATCCGAGGACATGACAAGACTTGGGTAACCCATGCAATGACATTTTGAGAGCCAGCTTCCACTAAAAACTGCGAGCCTAGCTCTTCAAGCTTCATAGACCATCCAGGAGTACAAGTGTCTCAGCAAGGGTAATGTCCGACAGCCATTGAGCCTTGAGGAGAGAAGGGACTTCCCAAAATGGTTTCTAGATACCCAACCAATTCGGGCTGGCCATGGGTTTCCAAAAGAGCACCCATGAAAGTTTAAGTTTGATCCTTCCTTTTGGCAGTGGCCTCCATATAGCGGATATGCAGAAACCCCTAAGGCTAGTTCAGATGATGATAGCCCACTAACTTACCAGGTCCAAGGATTGAGTGGCTATGTGGAATTCAAGGAAGTATAAAAATTCTCTTTTTATTTTATTAATCAATATGAATTCCATGTAGAAGCGCCACAATACACAGCTGTAAAGAAGAAATAAAACCCTAAATCAGTGTTCGCAAAATTGAACCGAAACAGTTAACCGGACATGGGGCCGGGAGCGGTTAGAATTGAAAGCAGACTAACCGGTCCGATAGATTTTTTTTAAAAAAAAAGGGTAAAAAATCCCTTAAAAAAAATAAAAATAAAAAATAAAGAAAAACATAGATTTAGTGTATTTATTTTATTACCTACATTTACCTTAAGAAAACAAATTTGAGAAGCCCAAGCACATACAAGGAAATGGTGTAGTGTTTCATTGAAAAGAAGGCAATCAAAAATTTTTCATGCACTTAAAAAACCAAAATGTCCCATTTCCATTATTACAAATAGAACTACATCATGCAATTAAAAAAAATTAATTAAAAAATTAGAGCAAAAAAAAATCGAGCAAAAGATTGAGCGACATTATCATCCACTTCTTTTATTTTTGTTAGAAAAACAATATAACATTAAAAAAAGAAGAATTGATTTTTTTGTCATATTGATCAAAAAACATAGTTTTATCAAAAAACATAATTTTATCAAAAACTTTATTAAGCAAAATATAAAAACACTTCCCATATTCATCAAAGAACATAATTTTATTAAGCAAAATAATTTTTTTAGAAAAATTGATTCTCAAAAACCCCTAAAATCGAGCAACATTTCAAGCAAGAAACGATCCCCAATGTTTAGATAATCGAACAAATCAAGTCTCATGCATTGTAAGGCTTAGATCATCTTCTAAACGTACCAAATCTCATAAAAAATATTCAGTATTTCTTATTTAATTGAAAAAATGGATGAAATTTCAGATCTACGAAATTTTCATGACATCATGCAAAAAAAAAATTCATATAAAAAAATTTACTCAATCATAAATAAACATACCTATTTTATTTGATAGATGAGGCCTTGATGATCAAAATCCACAACTCAATTTGATAAAGAACGACCAATAAATTGATGAAAAAATCTGCGTTTTTGGATCGAACACAGGTTCTTTGAGCAGCAGCATTTCGGGCCAAAATCAACCCACAATCTTTCATTGCTTGAACAAATTGAAACACAAATCTAGTAAATGCTTCAGTTGTCTATCAAACCCCCCAAATATCATCCAGAACCATTCGCTTTTAAAGAGATTATTGAAAGAATGGCAGAAATTTTCAAAACCCGTGAAAATCCGCCATTTCAACCCCAATGAACTCTTTTTTTTTCGATGTTTCAAACCAAATTTCTTGTTTTATAGACATTAGATAGTGATTCACAGTGATAAGGCATGAAAAAAGCCAAAAACTGGTAGGAAAACAAATAAAAAAAGGTACTATACAATAAAAAATGGGTGTCGACTACATATAGTGGCCACTATTTCAAAATAATACTGTTATAGTCACATAACCGTTATTTGTAAAAAACACCCAATTTATTAGCTAACCGGTCCGGTTAGCAGAAAACTAGCTAGTTAGACAAAAACACGGCCGGTTCAACCCCTAACCGGCCGGTGTTTGGACATTTTAAGGGGTGTACCTTATGATATTATACACTCCAAACCGGTCCTAACCGGAATTGGGGCCCTAGCGGCTCCGATCTAACCGGCCGGTTTCGATTCTAACCGGCCGGTGTTTCTAACACTGCCCTAAATACAACCTAGGATTTCGTTTTCACTATCAAGTAATCCAGGATTGAAAAACAAGCTTCTACTAAAAATTTAAACATACATAATGATCTTAAAAATTTAATTAAACACACTTATGACTGAAAAATAAAAGTAAACAGCCGGGAACACTTACTTGAATATGCCTAGGGTTAACCCCATAGGACTCAGTATAGCCCACATTTGATTTCTGATTGATGGCGCACTCTTATCCTATTAGCGTCGCTGAATTTTCTAAGCCAAAACGCTTCTTTAGGCAATACCTCTCACCCCTTTTTAATTCTATGGGGCATGCCACCAGGTGGCACCTCCCCTTTACAAATTTAGGGCTTGGTGTGCCCCCCTTTTTCTCGCCCTTGTGGGTGGGCGGTGCCACCCCTTGATTTTTAAGGGGTTGGCATGCACTTAGATAGAGAAGGGGGAGAGAGAGAGAGCTAGAAAGATGAAAGTGAGAATGGGGTGTGGAGAGAGAATCAAGAGAGATAGAGAGGGGCTCGAACATTGTGTACAGATTGAAGGGGGAACCCTCCCTTATAAAGGCGTCAAGGGCCCTAGGTATGCCTATCCAATTGTGACTCATCATGACCAGTAGGATTTAGGAAATCTATGGAGTAAGTGAGATTTAAATTTGAGAATCCATCCTATGAATAAGCCATCATGATTTAGGGAGGAACATCAGGGACCAGCGATTTAAAGAACAGCCCGCCTAGCGCTTAGGCGGGCAAGGGGGTTGGGCACAAAGCCCAAGTCCAAGCCTAGGCAACACCCCCGAGTGGGGGCTCCTCAGGCGCCCACCTAGGCGGATGCCCACCCCATCGCCTAGCCCTGGGTGGCCACCTAAGGCATCCGTCCGGCCGGGGACAAAAATGCATTTTCATCTTCTTTTGTCTAAATTAAGGAGCGAAAAGGGCCAAGGGAGGGGGAGAGGGAGGGGGTTAGGTTCTCTCACAACCTAAACCTAAACCCCATTTATGACATTTAGAAAGAGATAAACAACACAAAAGTGAAATTTGCAATTTATATAAGATCGACGGAATTGTCAAAGTTTCGAAAAATAATCCAAACATCATCCTTTTAGTTTGGATTTGCTTTCAACATCTTTTTAAACTTATTAGAGAGTTTTTTGGAAGCACGTGATATTGAGAGACATCTCAAAAGTGGAAGTTTGAATATCAAGCAATCAAGGTCAATAGAAAAAACTTTGTATTTCAAATTGCTTTTGCTATTTTGAGATGTCTTCTTTGGGTTTTAATAGAAGTGGTGATCTGAGTTGGAAATACGACTATAACCCGAATCCTTTATATAAAAATGTATAACATGTAATTATTGTGAGAAGGATATAAATGGGGGTATAAACCGGTTCAAGAAACATCTTGCCAGTATAAGAAGGGATACTGCCCCTTATAAAAAAGTTTCTGATACGATTAGGGAGGAGATTAAAAATTATATGCATAAAGTACAAATAAAAAAGAAAATAAAGAGGCATGCATTGTATTTATGATAATGACAAGCGTGATGAGGTGAAGCAGTTTGCTATGTCCCAGTCTAAGAAAGGAAAGGGAGTTGCAATTGGATCTAGGGGTGGGGGGGACCTAAAAGACCTCAGGTTAACGGGCCTATGGATTTCTTTTTTATCCCCGCCTGACCCTGAGGTTGCAGGTGAGAAAACCAAGAAGCAAATGACCATGAAATAGAATAAAAAAAGAAGAGAGTATGAGAGAGAACTGCTCAATATATTGCATGGTGGTTTTACGAGGCAGGCATCCCTTTTAATGTCGCCCTCCTAAGAACTTCTACACCTTCATAGAGGCAATTGGACAATTTCGACCTGGGTTGAAGCTCCCAAACCCATATGAGCTTTCAGCCTCTTTTGAAAAAAGAGGTGAATATCACAAGGGAGATTGTGGAGTCGCAAAAGGATGCATAAGCCCAATATGGGATGTCTATAATGACTGATACTTGGAGTGACAAGGAGAGAAGAAGTCAGATGCATTTGTTGGTGAATTGTCCTTTCGGGATTGTTTTTTTCGCTCTACTAAGCCATGATGCCCATTACATATTTAAAGTGTTTGAGAAGGGCATCAAGGAGGTTGGCGAGAAACATGTTATACAGGTTGTAACAAATACTGTTGCTCCTAACGTTGTCGCTAATTTGTTGCGCCTAGCTTACCATTATATTTTTTGGACACCATACGCAGCACACAACATAGACCACATGCCTGAGGCTCTAGGTTAGCTACAAATAACATTTATAACCACACCTCACCCTTAGCATGATGCGCAAATTTACAAAGACAGAGGAAATTGTGAGGCTGGGGGCCACGAGATTTGCTGCCTGGAATCTATTTTTACATAGTGGCCTAAGAAGGGTGAGGATCTTAAACTTTCCCTTAACTCGTCTGAAGCTTAGGTAAAGTAAGCGGGTTATGTTAGGTTGGCAGCCAATATAACACTTTCTATGAATACTGAAGGCGGACCAGGATTTGTATAGCCAACCCCAAATAGTTAGGAAAATGCTCTGATGATGATGACGACCTATGTCTACATAGCATACATTTGAAGAGATTCTAGTTGAGGCAGATGTTCACCTCTGATGATTGGAGAGCATGCAAGTAGGCCAAGGATCAGAAAGGGAAGAAAGAGAGAAATATTGTCCTAACGCCTTTTGGCAAGGGGTCAATGGCATTCTTAAGGTATTTTTTCCTCTTGTAAATGTCCTTCATATGGTTGACAGTGACAAGCTCTCCAAGGGCTTCATATATGAGGCAATGAAAAGTTGCATGAGAGAGATAGCCCATAATTTGGGTAATGATGAGAGCCTCTATGAGCTAGTTTGAGAGATTATTGATAAGAAGTGGGATAGGCAACTACATCGACTGTTGCATGTAGTTGGTTATTATTTGAACCCAGCTTTTTATTATGCTAATAAGAATATACAGAGAAATGACACCATTATGACTGGATTTAGTAAGTGTCCAGATATGTTAGTCCCTAATCAGGATATCCAAGACATTATATGCGCTGATGAATTAAGAATTTACAACTGCGCATTGAAATCTTTTGGGAGTACAATGACGATAAGAAAAAGGAACAAAATTGATCCAGGTAATAATAATATACTTAACCCAGTCTTCAAGTTCAAGTTTCATTTTTGTTGTTTGTTTTTTATGTTTCATATATAATCGTAATTTATAATCAATTTGTAGCCAACTGGTAGAGCCAACATGGGTGTAGTGCTCCAAACTTACAAAAGTTGCATTTCAGATCTTGAATCTAACACTACCTCGTCCAGCTAGGAGCATAAGTTATTTTATTACTTTACAGTTTACTAATTTGTATTAATAATTACTGATTACTATGTCAATTGTGATATTAATTAGTTTCATTTGATTTTATTGTATGTGTTTATCATTTTCATATAGATTAATACAAAGAAAAGAAACAAGCTTGAATCAAAGAGGTTAAATGACCTAGTTTATGTGAAGTTCAATTGACACTTGAAGAAGAGGTTTACGAAGAGGGATAAGAGAGAACCCCTTAGAATAAAACATATGGACAATGCCATGCAGTGATTGGTTGACGATGATGAGGTCGAGGGGCATGAAGGATTGAGATGGGACATGGTCATGGATGACTAAGGAAGAGGAGCCGACCCTCTTAGGACCTCTAGATCAGCTTCATAGAGGACGAGGGTGGCGGAGGAAGAGGAGAAAGCACAGGCAGATTCATAATAAACAAAGGAGGACGACCATTATGTTGAGGAGGAAGATGATTCTGATGATGATAGGCTCGACTCCGATGCATATGACCCTACTTTTTATGAAGATGACTGAAGACTCTTTTAAGTCTTCAAGTATATATTTATTTCCTTTTTCTTTTCCTCCTCTTATGTGTATCTATGGACTATGGAGTATAGAGTCATGGATTATATGTGGACTATGGACTGTGTTATTTTTTTCCTTTTCTTGATGATGAGTTGATGGCTGAATTTGAAAATCTTGTATGTTGAATTATATTTTCCTATTTTTCTTAATGTATCATTAACTAACTCTCCAAATCTCAAATACTTTGGACCTTGCCTCAATATCCATTTTTTTTACTGTGTATGGACTATGCACTAATGGTATGAAGTGTATGGATCATGGACAATGGATGGATTAAATGTTATGCATTATTAATGTGTTATATGCCTCAGTATGCATGTTTTAGTTTTTATATAAAATCTGGACCTTAAAACAATTCGATCAGATACCACCTACCCTTCCACCTACCCTTCTTATTCTATCTGGGCCACCGCCTAGGCGCTGGGTGGCCAGGAACCC